TCTTATTTATATTCACTTAATGTAATAAGAACTGAAGTTACAAGAATGCCCCTTGCAGTTCCTAATAACAAACAACTAACAAGGAAAAAAAGAAAGCTAGCTGTCAGCACCTAGATAGACTAGGCTGACAACAAGCTAACAGCATAGTAACACAAAACCAAACAACATACTAACACAAAACCAATAAATAAGATTCACAACACTCTTCTATAAATTTTCTAGTGTTTCCAGATTTTTTTATTTCTTCTTATGCTTAATCTTTACTATGGGAATGGTTGCCGAATTTAGTTTCAGATTTGTCAAAATTGTAGCTACCATATTTTGATTCCAAGTAATATTTTTGTATTTTAATTCACAAACGGAAATAGGTAGCTTGTTTTTTGGGTTTGGAACAATGAGATTTTGCTTCAAGTGCTCATCTTTCATTTATCCCCAATTTCTTTATTTTTATTAGAATTTAAATTTTATGTTTTATGCCAAACCTAAACAGTTGAATTCGAATCAGTCGAATATTCGATTATTCACTCAAATTCAATTACTGATTTTAAATATTCGATGGATACCGAATCGAATTCAAATCTTTATTTATGCAATCGAATTCGAATTCAGATATATCCTGATTCGCTTCAAATTCGATCCGTTTACACCTCTACAAGGGATATACCCAAGTATATGGGATAAATTACACTAAGACCTTTTCTCTAGTTGCTAAGATGACTTCAGTGAGAGTTTTTTATCCTTAGTAGTGAGCCATGATTCACCTTTGTATCAATTTGATGTTAAGAATGAATGCATTCTTGAATGGTGCTCTCACTGAAGAGGTATATATGTCCCTTCCTCCTAGTATATATGGCAAGGAAATGCAGGGTAAGGTGCGTAGATTGAAGACATCACTTTATGGCCTAAAACAATCTCCATGTGCTTGGTTTGACAAGTTTAGGGCTGCTCTTGTTCAATTTGGCTACACTCAGACTCAATCAGATCATACCCTCTTTGTTAAGAAGAAAACAGAGAAAGAAGAAAGCAAGAACATTTGATTGTTGAATGCTCCATAGTCTACAACTAGGGGTGCAACTTGGGTTGGCCTGACTTCAAGAAAAGGAAGTATCATACTAGACCTTTGAAAGTAGCAATGATGAAAGGGACGATGCTGAACCGGCTGGTGGAGATGGAGATCCAAGCAAAGCTAGTGAGGATGAGATTTGCATTGATGAAACTCACAACTTATCGAACTCAATAAACATGGAAAAGGTGATAGAAACATAGGCAAAAGTTAGCAAACTGTGGCACAAGGTGGTAGCGAGCATTCATGGAATAGCAACTAGTGAATGGGATACTGGTCTTGACCCTAGGGCCTCTCTTTCCTCACTCTAGAAAGCCATTTTTGGAGTCCTTCCTATCTGTCAGCCTTTTCTAAGATATGATGCCTGCTTGGGTGACAAAGTACTTTTTGAGAGGACACCTGGATTGTAGAAACTCCTCTTAAGGATAGATTCCCGAGTATGTATTCCCCATCTTTAAATAAATTCAAGGCCATTTCGTCCCTTTGTGTGTCTAAGTGTTCTTGGGATCTAGGCTTAGGGAGGGGTTTAAGGGATTCAGAGATCAGAGGTGAGTTTTGTAGATGATTTATTTTCTCTTGTGAATTCAGTGTTTTTAAATCTGTCTTGCCCAGATAGCAAAATTTGGTCAGAGCCCCCTCAGGTTTCTTCTCTTGCTCTTCATTTTCCAATTAATTCAATCTACTAATATGCATGTCTCTTTTCCTTTTAAAGAAGTGTGGTGTACTCCTATGCCACCAAAGGTTAGGGCCTTCTACTAGGAGTGTAGTGAATCTTTTCAACTCTAGTTTCTTCCAACAACCAAAGAAGAGGGGTAGGGTGATGTGGCAAATAATTAGAGCAGTTATTCTATGGTCGATTTGGGAAGAAAGAAACAACAGGATCTTCCAAAGGCAAGAAAGAACTAAAGAACTCACTAAAGGTATAACCATCAAGATCATACATTGGTTGAAAACTTTGGATCTTTTCAAGGACTTTTTCTTCATATGACATCTTTAGGGGATCAAGTGCTATAGTGGCTTCCTCTTCCTATTCTTCCATAGTTCAAGAACGTTGGTCCCCACCTCTATCTTATAGGGCAAAATTTAATATTGATGGAAGCTCTATGGGTAACCCAAGTCCTAGAATTAGGGGTGTCTTTAGGAATGAAGGAAGAGTGTTAGGCTTTTACTCTGGCCCAATTGGGGTAGGAGATTCCTTATGGGCTGGAGTGTTGGCTCTACTCCAAGGTCTCAAATTGGCTAAAAGCCTAAAACAATGGGGATTGAAATAGCTAGATGTGCAAGGAGATTCCATGCTGGTAATAGGTTGGTTGCAAACAAGAAGCTTGGGAACTTGGCCCTTCAAACAAAACATTAAAGAGATTATGTGTTTAGCAAGGGAGCTTGGGGTGCAAGTTGGATGGACTAGAAGATCAGCAAATGGAATGGCTAACACCTTAGCAAAGCAAGGAGACAATGAGGAGGTTTTGTTTTGGGCTTGTTTGTAATTCTGTTTTAAAGGCTCACCATATTTTGGTTTGGGTGGTGATAGTTGTACTCTTTAATTGATCATTGAAGTTACCATTTCCTATCCCAAAAAAGGGTCTATCTACAATAGGGGGAGAGTATGAAAAAAGAATGGAATGGTGGGTAAAAACAGACTTTCAAGAAGATTGTGGTTCTTGAGTTAGCGAGGATCAACGCCAACTCGACGGAGGTACAGACTTCTAAGTACTGTCCAAGTCTTCAAAGTTTTTGCTAGATTGAAAGAGGATCCATTTGGGACAGGACTAAATAAGAAGTCCAAAAAAAGCAAAAAAGACATGCAAGAAGAGCAAACCAGCAATGTTCAAGAATAAAGAAATGCAAGAAGATTAACCAAAATTTGTGAAGAAAAAAGTTCAGTTTCAGTTTTACCATGTTGGTTTGGTGCCAAATTTTATTGTTCATTTTGAGGTTAAGTCTTGGTGTGTCAGATAGGATGTCTCTAGAGCAGGGAGGGTAGAAATTGATGTCGATGTCTCTATCTTGGATACAAGTTTGGTTGTAGTTTTTATTTTTATAACCTTGGGAGTGATTGGTGAGAGTGGCATAGAGGCTTGTGGTGGTGGTGGTAGTTTTCTCTTCTCTCGGGTGACTTCTGGTCACCTTTCTTGTATTTTCTTTTCTCTTTATTTGTTACCAGATTAATACAATGCATCCATAATGAATATGTGAAGAATCACTGAGATAATAACAACCAACAATGTTTACAAAAAATTATTGAACCTGCTACCTCCACAACCTCTGATCAGTAACATAAAATTTATATCCACTAAATAAAGCGCTAAAACATACAAGAAGAGGGAAAGAAGATTTAAATGGACCACTGATAAAGGCCACCGGTCACATGTCAAACAGTTTAACCACTGGGTTGATTCAGTGACCCATTAGATCATTATATATAAATATACAACATATTATATATACTATAACATGTGATTTTGGTAATATGCAATTCTTTGCAAATAGAAGGTTATCACTCCAACTCCCCTCATTATCATAATACAATGAATGATGAAGTGGTGACCCAGGTGAGTTGTTGAAAACCGGCTGGACCACTAAAACGTAGCTGGTTTTCATCAGTTTGCCCAGGTTAATAGCAGGTCAGATTGGTTTTGGGAAATACAAAAAACTAGGATTTTAAAAACAGGATTGCCATTTGATTCACGAGTCTTACGGTACAACTGTCTCATCCAGAACACAAAGAAGAAATAAAGAATGGAAAGCATCGGCTGAGAGGAAACTGAAATTTAATTTTGATGGGTGTGCCTTGGCAACCCAGGTGTTTTAGATGTGGATGGAGTGATATGAGACTATAACAGCAACACTCTTCAGTTTTCAGGCCCAATCAGGCAAAGAATACTTTAGCAGTGATCAAGTCATCAATGACTTCTAAAAGTTGAGGTTCGTCGGATAGCATTATGTTTACACAACAAATACTGTGGGAAGAACCAAGTAGAAACCACTATCTGCTGATTCGGTCAAGCTTCTTGTGAAAGGAAGAGGGGAAAGTTGTAGATTTCAGCAATAGGAAGAGAAAGAGGAAGAAAAGGAGAAGAAGGTCAACTAGGATTGTGTATCATAACCCTAGCCGCCAGCCCCTCATTCTATTTATATTTAACTTAAATATGAGATATTACAAAGATGCCCTTAGTAGGGCGGCAACTCAAACTAAATAGTTACAACTCTTTTAAAAATAAAAACTAATGGGCCCAAGGCCCAACAACTTCTTAATTTAAAAGAAAATAAACTAAACACAGATCGGCCCATTCAACAAGAGGAAACTGAAATTTAATTTTGATGGGTGCGCCTTGGCAACCCAGGTGTTTTAGGTGTGAATGGAGTGATATGAGACTATAACAGCAACACTCTTCAGTTTTCAGGCCCAATCAGGCAAAGAATACTTTAGTAGTGATCAAGTCATCAATGACTTCTAAAAGTTGAGGTTTGTTGGATAGCATTATGTTTACACAACAAATACTGCGGGAAGAACCCAAGTATTGTCAACTACAATATCAACATTCTTGACAGATATTTATAGATGCATAAATAATGGCCATGAGATATCATACCAATTGTTATGTTGCCTTGGCTTTGATATCAAGGATGTAATCAATGTTGGCTTTGTTTCAAAATTAAATTGAGCATCAATTGAACCATAAACTAATAAATATTTAGAGAAATTAATATTGAAATTGTCAACTATGAGTCCAAAGTTGTAATATTGCATGCAACAAATAACCTACCCAAATTTCAAACCAAGTAAAACCATACAACAGAAAGATAGAAAATAGGACAAAGGCATTGCAACAAGGAAAGAACACCAAAAACCAGTAACAATAAATTATACTAATTATACATAGGATGACGGTGATGATGATGATGATAGAAAACCTAGAAATAAAAGGTTAGATACCGTATAAGGTGAGAGAGTGATGAACCAGGAACATCACTGCACATGTATGAACTATACGGAGATCTTTCTTTTGCCCCAACTTCTTGTGCAGAAATATTGACTTGCACTTGCCGCAATGAACTCTTTTGAGAATAACCATCCCAAGAAAACATAATAATCATTAGATTACTTTATTCTCAAAATAATATGGAATAGTGGCAGTTGAAGGGAAGAATGAACAAAATTCATAAGTACTACCAAAACAAGAACACCAAAGGCATAAACACACCATGGTTCCAGAATTTTGAGGAACTTTGAAAGATATACAACTGCCCTCATCCAAACAACTTGGCTGCAAAAGGAGAACAATACCAAAATAGATAAAGTAAGCTACCCATAGCAATAGGAAAAGATCAGCCTATACAACCAAATCAAGTAAAAATAATACTTATTTCAATTTCAATTGACAGTCAACTCCTCCAATACTCAACAGTCTTGTAATTTATTAACATCTACAAGAAAAAAAGGTTGGGTATTTTCTACTTCAGTGAGGATAAGTTTGATAACTGTTTTTCCCTGCAAACTGGAGAAGAGAGGCAAAGTTATAGCGAGCATGTAGATGTCAAGCGATCAAGTGCAGAGAAAATTTTAGCAGATGATGAGGAGTGGACTGAGATGCTCAGATGGGGTGTGAAGGAGACTAGACATATGGGAGGAGGGAGAAAGAAGTGCAAGAAAAAGGTGGCTCCTCATAGGGAGAGGAAAGCAGGCAAAGAGAACACAAGCAATCTGAGACAAAAGAAGGGGAAGAACAAGATATAATCTGAAAGGATTTAGGTACAGCAGTGATTGTAAAGGAGCCAAAGTTTGGATGATGTCTCATGAATTATGTTTTGATTAAGGATCCACAAATGTTTCTCTATTCGGATACAGATGCAAGGTTGGTTAATGGGTTCTAATGTTTTATATAGTGCTTCACATATTGTGTATAGGAGTGGAGATCAGCAGGGCGTGGCTTATCTGCTGCCACTCTTATTCCTTCATGGGTGTTTGTTTAGCCTTCGCTTAATCCATGTAGGATTATTCTCTTCTCATTTTTTTTGAATGAGATTTAAGTTTGCTATAATACCCATGCGAACATATTGAAACAACATGGAAAGGACACAGATAATAGTAAAATTTAATTGATGGGTTACCTCCACAAATCCGGAATGCATATCAACAGCTGACAGCATCTCAGCTCTTTGCCCCATATTCAAGTTCATACACTTCAACCATGACGAATAGAGCGACTCCAGTGGTATCTTTCCCCATAGGCAGGGTCCTTTAATACTTGCTGTCAAGTGAAAACTTGCTTTAAAATTGGACTACAATAATTCATGATATCATCTAATGTTCGTGCATCATATATTTAGAATAAAATGATAGATTAAAAAACAACTACCAGCATCACAATTCACATTTTTCCAACATCATCTACTTATATTATTTTGCCTTTGGTTCTAAAATTCACATTTTTTCTTCAAATTCCTCAAGGTATTTTATTGATATTTTTTATCTCAGAATTTGACTAGTTATATCAGTATAAAAACTTATCTCTGCAAATTTTTGTCTGAGTCGGGACAAAGTTAAATGAAATTTTGAGTCAGGACAAAGTTGAATGTGTTAGACAGTGTATGCCCTTAGCTCAAATCAGAATGATGTACATTATGACATTTATTGTAAATGAATAAAGTACATATTTGATTCATGTTATTATGGTGTGCTTCTGTGTAATACCCTTAAACTGGACACATATGAGACTCGTGTTAGTTTAGAATGTTCACAGCCATTGGATAGATCTGGGGAGATTTATTCTGCCAAGGAAGACACTGATATGCC